ATCTTCCCCATCAGAGTCTTGGTACGGAGAATATCCAAAGTTTTCAGATGGGGTATCATATGGTGGTTCCTCATGGTAGGGATAGTAGTCAGACCCATTGTTGACTTGGTAGTCATCATCGTATGGGTTCTGATGCGGGTGGTAAGGTGGATGGGTTTGAAACGGAGGGCGGTTAGGTGATTGGTAGAAAGAAGGCGGACCGTAATAACCACTAGGGTTATCCATAATAATTATTACGGGTGGTTGGTGAAAGGAAGTGAGAAGATCGTTCTAACCAATCTTCACCCAAGCTAATCAGAAGAAATTAAACTAATGCCGTGCCACTCCCCGGCAACGGCGCCATTTGACAGTTGTAGTTTTTCGGGTAGTAAACCTTCCCAATAAAGGGTTAGTTTTCTCTCCGAGTGTCGTATCTCTCGAGGAGTGGACGAAGGGAATTATTTTAATTACTCTAATTAGGCGAAGATTAGGATTGGTTTATGAAAGTCTTCTCGGAACGACAAAAAAGGCAGAGTAAAAATAATAAATAAATTAAGTTTATATAGTATAAGTATAGATCTGGACCCAGGGTCTGGACGTCATTTGAATTTATTTTATCATATTAAATTAGCAATTGGAATAATAATATTTCTATTACTGCTCATCCATTTCTAGATTTGTACTTAATCCGTTGACAATTGAATATCATAGCCTTTTGGCATACAATATTTTCTCAATAAATGGCCAATTAAATCTTTCGAGAGTTATTAACCAGGTAAGGCAAGAACAACAGATTAACCATTCCAACATTAATTTAACATCAAAAATAAACAACCAAATTAGTCCGGACCTAGAGATCCGGACCCTAACTCATACTATGCAAACATGAATTAAAACAGCATTTTATTAAATAGAGTAAACTTAAAACTTCCGTAAAGGCGGAACAGAATAGACCGGGAGTAGAATTCCTCCAGAATTTATTCTAAAACTACTAAAATGCTAAACTTATATTTAGAAATGGAATATTAAGCTCAAATCCCGAGAGTGGGGATGAAGTGATGTTGTGGATGGGGAGAATCGCGCTGTATTTATAGGAACGAAGCCAAGGCGTCCAAGTCAAAGCGTCCAAGTCCAAGCGTCCAGATCGGGACGCTTGAGCTGCTCCGGCCAACCAGATTTTGCCACGTGTCTTTCTTGGATTGCAAACTAGCCCAGGCGTCCAACTTGGCCAAGCGTCCAAGTTGGACGCCTGGGGGCCTTGGTCCGTTGGGCTTCGCGGCTGTTTCGTGATTTTGGCCCATTTCGCTCCGTTTTGGCCCCGAACACTTATTCTGACCTCCCGGAAGCTCGTTCAAGTCCGAATCTTGATCCCTTGATGATTTATTCCCTTTTTCTCAAATACTTGAACAAAAATGAATGATTTATGATGATTTCTTGTGGAATCCCATTTTATGACTCTTAGAATGAAAATGAGAGTTTTATCCATTAAAATCACATTTTATGAGATGATTAAATACTATTTACGTGCAATAACGTTTAGAATATGATGTAAATGATAAGAACGAAACGGACTTATCATCAGCAAACGTAACAGGTTTGGCAGCAACCATGTCTGGTTCAGGCATTTTGTCAAACACCTGGGGGGTCTCTTGCGCAGAGGTTATCCCCACCTGAGGACCTGTATCAGGGACGTCTTCAGCATGTGGGGGGGATGTCTTAGATGTTGAAGACGCAGTTGGAGCCTTCTCCTTCTCAGGTAGCTCCATGGCAATATCCGTATTCAGACTAGGAGTCTCCATAACATCATCTCCAGTCCTTTTCTTCGTTGGGCTCCTAGGGAGCTTCTTCTTAGTCCTCTTAGCACTCTGGGCTTTGCCAGAACCCATGGGAGCAGAAGCAACTCAGAGAAGCTACGCAGGAAGCATCGGGGAAGACAGTGAACAGTGAACCGTAGAAGTCAACGCACACCCTACACGAACAAGGGCATGGCTGAGTAATTCCGCCGGTAGAAATGGTCGCCCAGGAGAGGGGAACAAGAATCTATACTCAAAAAGGTGAGGCACCAAGAGATGAAGCTCAAAAAACGATGGCAATGGTGACGGGCTACTGTAGCACGACGTGTAACACCCTAATCCGTCCAGGTTTACAACCCTTTCCGAACTAAAGTATTAACTTGGTAATCGTATAATTTAAAACATTTCAAATAACTTTATTCATCATAAATGAAATTCCAAACATAATTGTAGTAAATACGGAGTGTTTAATGCGGAAGCGATTTTTAAACAGGATTCATAATAACATAATCATTTATTTTCTCAATAAATCCACCACGACTGTCTCGCCCCTTCCGCTGCCAAGAACATGCCATTCACTCATTCTGTCTACCTGCGTGTAGCAAATAAAACATACTACACGCTCAGCGATGAAGCTGAGTAAGCATATCTAAAGCGTCGAACATCCAATAAATTGAATCTCAATTCATAATCAACCATTTGATATCATGCACACAGTATATGATTCAAACATTCATGATATTCTCAATATTTTATTCCAAGTCATTTGATATTCAATATCTCAACCATGCTCTTAAATTATTCTTAATCTAAG